CATCACTGACAGAAGCTGTGCTTAGACAAACCCTTGAAGGCAATGTGCTCTACCCACATTACATTTTTAGTACACATTAACTGACACGTGTTTTACTTCACATCTTATCTGATCAGGAAAGTCTAGACATGGCCTTGGACAATCACTGTGTAACACGACCCTAAAAATAATAGTAGAAAAACAACTTTAAACATTAAGCTACTTTCATGCATCCTTTCAGCCACAGAATAACTCCAAAAGTTAATTTTTAAGCAAATTCATTTCAAAAGAATGTCTGAATTAATAATTAATTTTTTACATTTACATGAACAAGTCGACTACCCGAATTTTATGCATGATATACCTTAGAGAAAACAGTTAAGAACAGATACAGGCCTAACTTTCTTTCTCCCCCCCCACTTTAATTGCTAAATGCCCCACAGAAAAGAGCTTTATTTATACAGCTTATGGCAAACTCTTTCAGTTAAGAAGGAATGTCTTCAAGGAAAGGAAATACTGTCCAAGTTTACTCGTTAAGTGAAAACACAGTTCACCTACTTGCATCGAAGATACATACATGCCACGGGATAAAAGCAGTTCATGGCACGGATGTGACAAAACAAGCACCATCAAGAAGCCAGCAAATACCATACAAAAAATCACAAAGCCAGATAAAAAGCTGTCCCTTGCCCCGGAGAGCTTTACAGTTTATTCAGACAGATGTAAGGGCAGGATGAGACAAGTGATCAGGAGGTGAAGACAGGGTAACAAAGCTGTCAACCTACAGTGATCACATAAATATTTCAATACTTAAACCACCGTGTTGTTTAAACTTCCATTACAGTAAATGTGGGTCTAGCCAATAGGACTCTATTGAGTCTTGAAAAGAATTAATGTCATCCTCAATTAGGCCCTTGGTCACAAAAAGAGCTCTCTAGACTCTGCTGACTGCACAGACTAGTTCTCCATCAGCGATGGGGCTGCTTAAGCAATCACCGTGCAGGCAACTAAAATGAATCCCTACTTTTTTTCTCCCCTGTGCACGACGATGAGCAGCATTTGCCTTACCTTCTATTTAAAAAAGAAGCATGCCAGGGAGGCTTTTTAACAAGGCTGCTCCTTTCCCTGACAGAGGGCAAAGATGCAGTAGCTACATCAAATCATGCTTTTGTCTCTCACAGGCGCACCGTTACGGCCAGACCTCATCTTTACAGACATCGAAGTAAAAAGGAATCGTTGGAATTTGAAAAATTGAGTGCCACCACTATTTCTGAGTGACAAACATGTGCCATTCACTGGCACCAGTGAAACCACCACTGTTGGAGACAGACACGCAATGATTACAGCAGCCTACGCAGACCAAATTGGTACAAGACCGTACAGAGAAACAAAGCTACTCCCTGAGCCAGGTTCAACTTACGTTTGACTTAATATGTCTTGAAAGAGGTTGGCAGGTGAGCAGCTGTTAATCCGCAGCCATTTTTAAAACCACAGCTCCCAAAAGAAAGTTGAAGGGTAGTTGTAAAACCTTATGTCTGCCAGTAGTACGCTCTCCTTAACTACCCGCTGGCAAAGAAACAGCATGCATCTTCGCATGGACTGAAACAAATTTTTAAACCCGCTGAATGCAAAATATTAGCTGCTGTGTTATATCAGCCTTCAGGTGTCTATTCATAACTACGGGAACGACACTTTTGACATGGTTCTCATCAGGTGAGCCGTTACCACTAAAGCAAGCTGGTAATGCAGGCGTGATTTTGGTACCGTGTTCACCTACGTCCAAGTCAAAATTGGCAACTTTCAAATTCTATCACACGTGACATCAAATGTTATTCTTTTCAGTACTTACCTGCATGTAAGCAAAAAGCTATGTGGAGAGGAGTTATACAGCAATGGAAAACGAATTCTGGTTAAGCGGAGGTTTCTGGTTACTGAGACGTCTTTCAAGTAAAAGTGCACAAGGAGCACTAACATGTTTCCTTTGGTAGAGTGCAACTGATGAAGTCTTCAAATTCTGACACCTCAAAGTTATCGATCTGCTTTCTACCAACTTAAATATGCAAGAATACAAGATAAAATGGAAGTGAGAGGCAAACAGAGCAAGTCAGAAAGCAGAGGGAAGAGACGGGAACAAACAGAATCTCTAGGAGGCACAGGATGTCTTAGAAAAACAGTCATTAGATGCAAAAAAATTAGTTATTATTAAAAAGGAATAAACACAGTACATGACAAACAGGGTTTTCTCCCTGTAGAAGTATTTTCATTACCACCTACTGTATACTATGTGGCAGCAGCAAAAGCAAAGCAAGACTGGTTAACTTCACGGCTTGAGTCCCAGCACAGCAGCAAAGGAAAAGAGATTCAGGGAAGTAACCTGCACCGACAGTCACAAGTAGTTCTGTTCACAACAATGCTTTTACCGAATAAAGGCTGAAACTGATGCTGTTCTAATTCTGCAAAAACAGATGGCACAAATATCACAGAATCATAGAACCACAGAATGGTTTGGGTTGGAAGGGACCTTAAAGATCACCCAATCCAACCCCCTGCCATGGCAGGGACGCCTTCCACTGGACCAGGGTGCTCACAGCCCCGTCCAGCCCGGCCTTGAGCGCTGCCAGGGAGGGGGCATCCACAGCTTCTCTGGGCAGCCTGGTCCGGGGCCTCACCACCCTCGTAGGGAAGAAGTAAACATTCTACATCTGTTCCCAAGTAGGAACAAAGTGAAATATTTAGCATAACGCACAAGGATGTAAGAATAAAGATGATCACAAAAAGAAAATGTTAATTTAAACATCCAGTATTTGCATGATGTTATATAACTGGAAAAGTCTTCCACGGAGAAAAGAAGAAAACCTGTCATCCCACGACGATTCAGTCACACAGACAAACGTCGGGATGACGAAGAGACAAGCCAAGTGGTTGCCAGACGTAGGAAGCCAATGTGAAGGTCTTTCTATTTCTTCCTGTTAGGCTTTACACGCGGGAGGTAACTAGCTCTTACATGAGAGCTTCCCACAGTCTGCTTACGACTTGCCCACCTTTGAGAGTAATGCTACAAACAGAACCGAAATCCCACACACGTGCCCTTAGCACTCCAGATGCCTGGCAGTCAGGTTGGTTTTCATCCCAATATTACGAGAGGGGATTTACGCCCATGAAGTTCATACTACATATATAAAAATACATATAGTCCAAAAAGTTTTTATCATATTAGTATCAAGGATGTTCCCTAGTAAACCGAGTACCTCACCATGATTGACTTGAAGCCATGCATATGTAGCTACTTCCCCAGGTCAAATGTAACTAAGTTCACACCATTTCTAAATGCACTTTACATATGCAACAAAACAGAAACCATAAATTAATTGCTTTCTCTTCTTCTCTCCAGGGTTGGAAACTTTGGGCAACCCTCCCAATTTACAGGGATAAAAACACCACCACGTACAAAAAGGTTAAAAAAAGAACAACCACTTCCACAGCACCTGTGACCTGGAGAGAGGGCTGGCTCAGGCGGAGGACCTTCCACCATTGCAAGCAGCAGCCAGGTTTTGGTGCGTGTGTTGGCTTGCTTTTTGTTCACAGTCTACAGAAAAACACAAACCCAGCCAGCAGCAGACAACAGCAGTGCAGAACTCAGCCCCTGTTGCCTAGAGAATGCTGGCAATTAACTATTATTTCTACAAGTTGTATTAGTTAATACTGAAAAGCTCTTTCAAAAAGAAAAACCTTCTTCCTCTAGAGGCGTTTTCTACATAACTTGTTGCCCAGACCCTATTTGCTTTGTAGATAACCCAGGAGAACTTAGTTGCCTCATTCATCAACTCAAAAAGAGACAGATCTCTTTAGGAGTCTGACTAAAGGTAATACATACACCAACGAAGGCCACGAGCCTGCGTGCATACAAGTATATACGTGAACTTCAAGGTTTTTACACTACAATAATGTTAACTCATGTTTCTTTTTATTAAGAGACCTCATTAAAAGCTAGCCTCCACAAAGTGGCGCTGCTCATGACCTCATCCAATACAGGAACAAGTTACTAAGCAACTAAGAATTAAATTCTCAATACATAAACGTGGTAGCGAGGAAGTCATTCTACACAGCTTTCCATTTTCTAAAGAGACCTACTCGCTTAAACTCACTCGCTGGAGATCAAGTTATGATAAATTAAACCTGTTCAGTTAAAAAAAACCCACACAACAGGAGACCCACCACACACAGATACACCCCCGAGGTCTTAAACGCATGGATGGTATCCAAAACGGCTGTCACGGAACAGAAACACCGCCAAAGTAAAAGGGACCCTGAACAATATTTCAAAGGTTCCTTCCCTTTGCAGCTGCCAACATGATCAGTAAGTGGTAAAATCCAAACTTGGGTCAAGCAGAACCGCTATTTCAGCCTGACCTACATTTTTCCTAGTCGAATCAGACCAAGGAACAAGAGCCACACAGACATTTGGCAAGCCCCAGGTTTTATTACAGGTCAGTACATCGCAAAAAAGCACTGGTTCAGCCACACTCCAGAGCTCTGCCTGAATTGAAGCAATTTGTCACTTTTCCTCCAAACACCTTCTGTATTTAGAAAAGCCAACATTTCTGCTTAACCCTTTACAGGCCATCAAGTACACAAATATACAAGCAGGAGCTCTGAAATAGTTTCCCCACTCTTGTACTCATTCCCTGAGTTTTAGCTAGCTGCTGTCGGAGACAGGTCACTAGGGTCAGACGTGAGAAGTGCCCCACAGAGTCTAGCTAACTTCAAAAAAAGTTGGTTGTTTTTTTTTTTTCTGTAAGTGATACATTGTCTGGTTCCTACTAGCGCTAAATCTGACATAAGGAGTTCTCAAGCATACCTTCCCAGATCAATGTATGCATAGAGATCCCCGCACATAAAATATCAGCAGTATTAGCCATACCTCGGAAAGACCTGTCACTTAATAAACCTTTGATGACTTTCACATCTCCCTTTCAGACATGCCTTAGAAGAAACAAGCCCAGTGAGCTACGAGTACATACCTGCTCCACACCCTTTGCGAAAGGCATCCTGACTCCTGAACCACCTTCCCTGTCTCCAGTATGCTCGCTTTCCCAAGGCAGCTTGTTTTTTCCTTTACCCGCACTCAAGACTCTTCTTGGACTCACTCCTTGGTCGGCATACGCACCGTGTGAGCTGGCGTTTTGCAGAGCATCATCCCTTGCGTGATACCCGCAGTAACTGTGCGCGCTCTGAGTCCTGTTGCCCATCAGCAACCAGTCTGTATCTGCTCCAGGGGGTAAACAGGACCCCCTGTTATGACCAGATGAAGGCAAGGGCACAGCGTACTCTACAAATCCTTGGTCTGCTAGCTTCGGCAAGGTCTTCCTAGCCAGCCTGGCCTGCACGGCGTGCATCACCCCATCCCCGTTGTCCTCAAGTTCCACGGCATCCACCGCCTTGAAGAGAAGGGCGGTGTTGCCTGGGCCCATGGAAGACGCCAGCACAGCAAACGCTTCCATGGCAGCATGCCGGACCCTGCGCTTGCTGTCCACCAGCGCTGGAGCCAGCCCGAAAGCCAGCTTGGCCAAGTCCAGCTCCTCACTAGGGTAGGTGAGGAGAGCCGCGATGCAGATGTTGACCACCTCCTCGCGGACTTTGGAGTTCTTGTGCTGCAGATGCTCCTGCTGCAGCAGCAGACCCAACACCGGCTGCGGACCCGCTGCCTTCATCAGCCGCAGGAATAGGCGGTTGTACTCCTGCCGGATGGCCAGCTTGTTGTCCCCCAGCACTTTAGCAGCAGCAGAGACCAGCGGTGCCAGGAAGGCCCGGACCTGGTCGCCCAGGCGCAGGGCCAGCAGATGTGTCACCTCCAAGGCCCCCAGCACCACCTTGAAGTTGGAGTCGTCGAGGAGGGTGTAGAGGAAGCTGATGAGCCCCAGGAGGCTGGGGGCAGGCGCAGAGGCCACCGCGGCCCAGCTGGCACCTCCGACCACCCTCTTCAGCTCCTCCACGGCTTGCGTGCGGTTCCTGTAGTCCTCCTGGTCCAGCAGCCGAGCGTGCAGCTCGGGCGGCAGCAGCCCGAAC